CTACACTGTAGAAAAATCTGTTAGGAAAAACATAGCTAATATGGCAGCCAGCTAGTAAACCTGATACTTGACCCAACAAACTCATTAAAACACTCATAAAAACAAAAAAGGAGATGAAAAGTTAGAATATCACAGGAACTTGGTTATCAGTGATTTGATTTGTCAGGGCACAAAAATAATCATTTAAATGGTGGAAAGAAAAACAGAATTAAAAAGTCTAAATATTCAAAAGTAGGAGAGCAGCTAAATAGACCATGATATTATATGATACAATATTAAATAGGCATTAAAGATCCTTCTCAGATTATTTGATGTTAAAGAAAAAAATGTTTATGGTAAAGTAAGTGAATAAATGAAAGGAGGGACCTCCATGTATTGAAAAAAGAATCAGGCAACAAAACACTCAGAGCATACCTCTCTCAGTAGTGAAATTACTGAAAAATCTAAATTTCTTCTTTGTTCTTTTTTATATTTTCCAAATTTTCTATAATGAGTAATTATAACTTTTTATAATCAGAAAAATTATTAAGAGGAAATTCAGAAAGATAAAATTAGGAGAAAAGTACCTTCAAAAATTATTTTACAAGTAGCACCCTGACTATATAAGAACAAGTCATATTTCAGTCTTCCTTCTCCTTAACCTCTCCTGCATTTAATGGTACAGATAGATGTACTTCCTGAAACTTTCTGCTTCACTTCTAACACTTTGTTTTTTCTTGGTGCTCTTCCAACACATAGGCACCTGTCTCTTTGCCTTGTTTGGTTCCATCTCCTATTGCTATTCCCTAAATGGGACTGTATGCCAAGACCGTGTTAGCAAGCTCTTCTTGCCCTATTAGATGCCCTTTACTGGAGGGCCTATCTATTCTCAGTCTCAGCAATTACTTCTCAGTACATGACTTCCAAGATCTACATCTCTAGTTCTTTCTTGTCTCTTGAATAGTATTCTTCAAACTCAACTGGCATATTCTATCTTCTTCCACCTGAAATTCATTTTCCCCCAAATTAATTTCCTTGTTTGAGGCCTTCCTATGTGTATTCATGGATCTATTGTGCACTGGTCACCTCATTTAAATCTGTTATCCCTCTTTCTCTCCTTCTCCTCCAACACTTGGTCACTAAATATTTTGAAATACCTCTTACATCCATTATTTTCTTTCTAGTCTAATCCTGAAACCCTGCTAATCCTCATAAATCTCAACACCTCACGCCAATTAGTCCAATAAGTGTAAATCTAATTAATCTTCTAAGTCTCCTGTCTCTGGCTTCTCTAAAAAAAAAGAAACAAAAGAAACAAAACAAAACACAACCTATATATTGCTGCTGTTGTGATGAATTTTCCTAAAACATGGCTTTAAAAAAAAAAAGGAAAAAAACCCACAAAAAACAAACAAAAAACCACAACCCTGTAGTCTCAAATAACTGTCAAAATTACAAGCTAAATTCTTTGGTCTCCAATGTAGCCTCTGCTTCCCTCTTCTAAATTTATTTCCTAACACAACACTACAAAAATCATCTTTCTAAACAAACTAGTCTATCTTCAAAATGAGCTCCAGGAGTATGTAATGTAAAACATTCATGAGTTTTCTGGAAGCTTTGCTGTTTAATGTTACCAACCAACGCTTTATGTGGACAAGAAAGAAATAACAGATTAACAGTAGACTGGAAATGTTAAAGCAGAACTTGGGGAAGAGCCAACACAAATCAGACCAGGGGCCATGACATTCTGGAGAAAGCAAAACTATAGAGATAGTAGATCAGTGGTTGCTGAGAGGGAGGGAAGGAGGGATGAAGAGGCAGAGCACAGATTTTCAGGGCATTGAAACTATTCCGTATGATACTACAAGGGTGAATACTGGGAATGGATTATGGACTTTGGGTGATAATGATATGTCAATGTACATCAACAGCAATAAATGTACCACTGTGGTGCCAGTCCAAGAGGTTGTGCATGTATGGGGGCAGAAGGGATAAGGAAAATCTCTGTACTCTCTCTTCAATTTTGCTTCGAACCTAAAACTGCTCTAAAAAATGTTTATTAAAATATATATATACTTTGGGGAGCCTGGGTGGCTCAGTCGGTTAAGCATCTGCCTTTGGTTTAGGTTGTGATCCTGGGGTCCCGGGCTCCCTGTTCAATGGGGAGTCTGCTTCTCCCTCTCTCTCTGCCCCTCCCCCTCCTCATGCTCGCTCTCTCTCTCTCTCTCTCTCAAATAATAAAATCTTTCAAAAAAATAAAAATATATATACTTCAAAAACAGCATACTTACAAACATTTAAATATTTAATCCCTGTCCTCAAGATAAATTTCAGTGTAGTTCTTCTACAAACCATTTATGAGCAAGAAAGTAGAACTTAATTTCTGGGATTAAGTTCCATCTTTTAAAAGCAACATATGTCTACACTGGAATTTAAAAAACGCACTTAATTTCAGATTCTTGGTACTTTGGCTAGCACCAGAATCATCATACACTAACACTTTAGATTTGACACAGAACAAGCAGTGTTAAGATCAATGCTCACAGAAAACCATTCACTGCCAGGTAATGTTTACAATACACAAGAATAACCATATAACTAGATTATGTATCTAGTATCATCTTCTGCTACCTCCCACCAGTCTCAGCTGTGCAGAAAATCACCATTTCTTATTAATTTGCTAAGTCCTTTCAGAAGGCAGTCTCTATTTTTTTAAGATTTTATTTATTTATTTGAGAGAGAGAGAGCATGAGTGGAGGGGGCGGGCAGAAGGAGAGGGAAAAACAGAGCCCCTCCTCGCTGAGCAGGGAGCCCAATGTGGGGCTCAGTCCCAGGACACTAGGATCATGACCTGAGCCAAAGGCAGACGCTTAACCAACTGAGCCACCCAGGTGCCCCTCCTAGTGAATAAAGATATTCCCGCCATCTGAAATTCACCAGGATCCATCTACACTTAGCAAAACTCCTATTCATCTTTTATCATACCATTTAAATCATAATCACCCAGAAAACAATTAATTTAAGAAGAGTTTGAAAATAAAACACTGTGGGATGATTCTAAGCAGAAAAAGAACTGCAAAGAAATCTTGACCTTTTAGGTAGTTAGCTGCTATGCTATTGGTGTAGTAATTATTTTTGTGTGTATTATAGGATACAGTACATGAATATGACAGACACTGGGAACCAGGGTTTTACTGTGGGAGAAGGGAGATAGATAGATAGATATATATATATATATATATATACCAAAGGAAGATGAGGAAAAGCCCTGTAGTGCTGGATTTGAATTGGAAGTATCAATATGATTAAAAAAAAAAAAAAAAAAGGTACCCCCTGGTTCCATCCACTGAAAGGACCAATCCACAATGGTAAACAATAGCAATGAGTACATTTATATCTAGACTTTGGTTTTTAAATTCTACTCTTAACTAAAAAAGCAGTTTTGGTGCTCTTGAAAAAACGGCTGATTTCAGATCTGGCACAAAAAAGGTACAAGGTAAGCCTGGGATCCTGTATGTAAGGAAGTGTTCAAAGACTAAAGAGTCATCTCAAAGGACATTAAGAATCGGCCACTGGTCAACTTTGAGCCAATTTTAGCATCAAAAGGAATACTGATGTATTTAATACAGAACAAAAAAGAATGCCAGATAACAAATATAGAATGTAAGAATAAAAATAATAGATACCCTTTCTTTGCAGCCCTGGATGTAATAAATGGAATAGGTAAGGATCATTATTGGATGCTAATGACAGTGGTTGAAAGGTTGTTGGATTATTCATGAGGTCTCAAAGTATCAGCCTGAAGATCATGTGCTAATTATAAAGAGGAAGATAAACCTTACAATAGAGTGATCTGGTTATCACTACCTTAACCAAGTGGTAAAATTTAGCTCACCAGTAGCGGGACAACCTGATATTATGTCTCCTAATGTGACGTCATGTGAAGTTCACTACATGTCCTATGTAAGAGTTTTGCTAAAACTGTTTATCTTGAATGTAATCAAAAAGAAACAATCAGATAAATTAAGAAATATAGAAAATTCTATACAACTAGCACCAAATTCTTCAAATAAGTCAATGTCATGAAAAAAAACAAAGAAACAAACCAGTAGGCATATTGTTCTAGATAAAAGACATATTAACTACATGAACCTTGATTGGAACCTGGATGATAAAAGTAAAACAAATACTATAAAATATTTTTTAAGGGACAATTGGAGAAATATAAATACAGACTATATATTAGATATTACTGAATTATTATTGATTTTCTGAGGTGTGTAATAATGTGATAAAGGAAAATGCAGTTCTTAGATGATAAATGTGGAAATACTTAGGAAGGAAATATCAAGATATTTGCACTTGCCTTCAGATGGTTCAGTAAATATGAAGCATATATGGCAAGATGACATCTGGTAAATATAGTAGTAGTAGATGGATATTCATTGTACAATTCTTTTAAGTCATCTATAGATTTGCAATTTTCAAAATAAAAACTTTGGGGGGAAATCAGTTCAGATGTCACACTTCTTAGAAGGCTTTTTAAACTTTTCTAGTGAAATTATTTTTTCTTTTTTCATATTCCCACAGGCTATATTTCTAATTCAACCCTTAACAAATTTGATACTGTCCGTTTACAGGTCTGACCTCCCTAAACATGGAACCAGCCTCATCTTCATTACTAGAACTTAGCTCTTTATCTGACATGTACTATATATTCAGAGTTTGTTGTATGGATGAGATAACCAATATGCCAAATTGACAGGCCAAAACTGAAATCCAGGTATTGTCACTATCATATTGTACCTCAAATTCAATGAAATCCATCAAGCAGTAAGCCTATTAAATGTTCCTACGTGATCTGTACCATTATAATAGATATCCACATCACCAATCAAACCAAATTAAAAACAAAGCATAACAATCCTAAAGCAGCCTCACCCTTAAGTCATTACAGGCCATTTTCATTTTAAATTCTCTCTAGTTTCAATTCAAGGCAATTAGAAAAGATGCATGCATACCTGTTCTATGTCCTTGGAATTGGAGGTCTGGTTTTCTCCCAAGACTCCAGGCTGCTCATTTTCCCATGGCAATTTATTTTTTCCTTTTCCTGCACTTAATACCCTTCGGGTACAGATAGTTGGACTGTAAGATCCATAAATTTGCATGCTGTCCCTTATGTGGTCTCCACAGTGACAGTGTGCACTCTGAGTTCTGTTACCAGCCAAGAGCCAGTCTGTATCTGCTCCATGTGCCAGATGGCTTGACCTACCCTGGGCAGATGATGGCATAAGTATTGCATATTCCACAAATCCCTGTTCTGTTAACCTTGGGAGGGTTTTTCTAGCCAATCTGGCCTGCACAGCATTCATCACTCCGTCTCCATTATCTTGTAGTTCAACAGTATCCACAGCTTTGAAAAGGATGCTGGTTTTACCTGAGCCCATGGACGATGCCAACACAGCAAAGGCTTCAAGAGCTGCTTGGCGTACCCTGCGTTTGCTATCTATAAGAGCTGGGGCAAGATTAAAAGACAGTTTGGGTAAGTCAAAATCCTCGCTGGGATAGGTCAGGAGGGAGCAGATGCAAATGTTCACTACCTCCTCTCTCACTCTGGAATGCTTATGTTTGAGATGTTCCAGGAGTAAACAAAGCACCTGTTGAGGACCTACTTCCTTCATTAGCTTGAGGAAGATTTTCATGTATTCTTGTTTGATTACCAATTTGTTGTCTGCCAACACTTTGACAGAAGCTGCTATAACTGGTCCCAAGAACTGTTGTGCCTGCTCTCCAAGGCGAATAACCAGTAAATGCAGGATCTGAAGTGTGCCATGAACCACTTTGAAGTTAGAATCATCTAACAGATTATAGAGCAAGCTAATGAAACCGACAAGACTGGAATGAGGGGTAGAACTAGGATTAAATCTTCCCATCACCTGTTTTAATTCCTCAACGGCCTGAGTCCGGTTCTTATAGTCTTCCTGATCTAACAATCTTGAATGCAGCTCTTGAGGAATAATCCCAAATTTAAGATTGCTGTTAGAAAGAGTCACTGCACAGGGGAGAGGATCTTCAGGAAATCCAGAGGCTTCCAGTTCCAAATAATAAGGAACCTGACTTCCAAATTGGGACTCCAGGCGGCGATTGTAGTGTCTCCTCAGGGCAGATGGCAAGCGAGAGATATAGGACTGAAATCTCTCTTGGCCAAGTCGTTCCCCAATTTGCTGAAGTGCAGAGAAAGCAGTCTCAGATTCTTCTTCTACCTCCTGATCGCCAAGCTTTCTGGCTAGGGATATTATTACCTCGGTGAGATCTAGGCTGAACAACAAATCCTCAGGAGTAAGCAAGATAGGGAACAGCACTGCTGTGGCAGCTCGAAGCCGGGCATCTGTACTTTCCAGTCCTTGTTGTATAAGTGTTCTCAGCACCTGTCCAGAACTACGTTTCAGACATGTATGTAGGATCTGTAGTGCATCTTTCCGTAGGGCTGGATTCTCTTCTCGTAAGGAGACAACTAGTTGAGGCAGAAGTGCTAAGCTAAAGGCCTCTTCCAGCTGGCCTGCCTCCCCCTGACCCCGGAGAACGTCCGAGAGGAGTTGCAAGCAGAGTCGCTTCTCATCACTACCTCCTTCCACAAGCACTCGGCCCAGGGCCCGATACAATGCTTCCTTCCGTCGGGGGAAGCCGAGTCGACAGCCCCGCCGCGGCAAAGCAGCCTGCAAAGCCTGGAAGGCCTCGGAAGGATCCGGCGCAGTCCGGAGGAGTTGAAGAAGCCGAGTCTCCTCTTCATCTCCCCCTGCCAAACCGCCTCCAGACCCAGACCAACTACTTGTGATTGCCTCCGCGGGCATCATGAGGGTCGAGGCCAGAGGCGAAGGTGTCGGTGGGCAGGAACTGTGGTCTCCGGCAGCTCCACGGCAATAGTTTTTCTCGCCTCTCATGGTGCCCCCACCTCGATTATCATCAGTCTCTGGGGCGGAAGGACGATTGCAGCTCTGGAGGCGACAAGCACAGAGGGCTGGAAGTTGCGGCAGGAGGCGCAGCGCAGAGGGCACAGCCGCCATGGAGGGTCGTCAGGTGGCAGAGGCTGGAGGAAACCATCGTCTCTGAAGGACTCGATGGAGCCCAGCCTTCCAGTTCCTCTCCAAGCCCCAAGCTGCAGAGGAAGAAAAGGAACAGCTTCAGTTAGCTGCCAAGTCGCCCCCGGCAGGCTGCCTTCGGCAAAATGGCCCCTGCCAGAGCCGCAGACCCCACAGCAGCCACCGGGCGTAACCAGGGGCACCACGTGACCAAACCGATGGCTTCCATGGTGATCTACCCAGAGTGGGCCTCTTGACCCGGAAATCAACCTGTCGTGGTGAATGCTGGGTCATGTAGTCCACGTCAAGTGACGAATAGGCCGCAGGTTCCTTGAAAAGGAAGTGAGAACGTTACGAAAGTAGAGAACGTACCCAGAGCAGAGAAGTCAAAGAAGGGTGAAGGCACTAGGCGGAAGTGACGTTTCCGCTCCGAGCGGAAGATCTCCGCCCCACCCGAAAGGATCGGGGTTTGACTGGAGACGAGTGAGGATCCTGCCCTGACTCCAGTGGTCCACGACTCCTCCTCCTGTCGTTGCCGGCGTGATTCCTGGGACTCAGGTATTTTCCTTTTGCTGTCCTCCTGCGGCGCAGGCTTTGGCAGAGTTTTGCCGGAGTGACGCTGGTGCTGCAGTAAGAGGTAAAAGAAATGAACGGGAGCTAGCAGGGAGAGAGGCGACATCTTCTTATGCAGCGTTTGTTACCGTTGTAAATGCGTTGCTTTCTACAGCCCTGAGTAAGTGCGGTCCGTGCGCCCTGACTGGAGATTCGGACCAAGGCCAAGCTCATAGCTCGCGTACTTTTTTTCAAATTCTGGTCTTTGGGGCCCTTACACTCTCCGCCTCCCCCCCCTTCCCTTTTCCTACTTCGCTTACCCTCCAGTGATTTTCTTTCATCTTTCCTTACTTTCATCACTTTAAATTATCTTTGAAAACGTACTAAATCTGTTTTTCCCTGTATCTCACCACCTCTCCCTTATACGTTCTCAAAGTCCCCTAATGCAGTTCCTCTCAGACTTACTCCGTCCCTCCTCCCTCACCCTTTGCCACCCCAACCTCCCTGCAGGATCCTTGCGCGTCTCTGCAGCCTTTCAGTCTCCTGGAAACCGAGATTGCAAAGACAATTTCACTTGCGGTTGAAGTTCTTGGCATCATGGACCTAAGAGAATTCTGCCCTGTATATTTAGGGCTAACAATGGACGTTTCTTTGTTTTAGGCGAAGTGTGAATTGGTGAGCGTCCTCTCCTTTTTGTAAATGAAACTTAAGCGGACACAATTGAAGAGCTGGAGTGTCTGGTGTGAGGCTGAATTTTTTGAAGTGTGGAAGAGGTATTTTTTGAAGGAATACACAATTACTTTGAATGACCCACTGAGAAAAGGCAGAGTTATTATTTGAAATCTCCAATTCATGCAGTTTAAATGCAAGTGAAGTCTTAGGATAATTGAGTTACATATGCCAAACCACTTATTAAATAACGTTGCTGGGTGATGCAAGTTCAAACGTAATTTCTGTTCGTTGTCTTAAAGCACAATTTGAGTATCATAGGTTTCTTTTTTGTCTTTCGGAAATAGAGTAAATGTAGATGAGGCTTGTGTAAACATCCTTATATTTTGGTTTCAGTTCTAGGTTGTTGTTTTGATTTTAATTAGTCATTTTGGTGTTTAAATGCATCTGCCTAATTTGTTTAACTTTATTTCGGTAGACCCCCCCCCTTTTTTTTTTCATTTTTAAAAAATTATAGGGATAGTGTTAAGGGCGGGGGGTGAAAACCAAGAGGTTATTGTAGCAGTCATTAGTAAAAAGGAATGTCTGTCTGGTTCTCATATTTCCAGTGTAAGAAACTCATATTTATATTTTTACTCATATATACTCAGGCTTCAGGAACCCAACTCAAACTAAACAAAAGTAAGAGAATGAGGTACACATTAGAATGTACATATTAGAATGCCAGTTTATGTTGGAATAGAAGATAACCCTTTAGAGTGATCAGAATTTTCAGGTTGAAAAATCCAGTGCACTCTTTGCTGTAGTGAAGAACTTGGGAAGTGGAGGTTGTGTGGTAATCATGAAATCAAAGAAAAGGAACTTGGAAAGTCTTGAATGATATATCATCATCAAAGTTACAGTAGAAGCGTAAGAATTACTCCTTTTCTCCACAGAGAATACTTTTCAAGGGTTGTGAATACTTAAGCCAACCTTTCTCTTAGAACAAAGCAAAATGAGTCTTCATTTTGACCCCTTTTCTCAGGGCTCCGTAGATCACTATGTTAAAGATTGCAATTTATTTTGTATCTGTTACATTTAATTTCTTTGATAAAGACTTGTTAGATGCATTGTCCTCCATGGTGGTTATTTAGGAAATGGGACCTTATCAACATCATGTATCCTACTAATTATCCTTTAAGGTTATTTTGTGGAAGACATATCTCATTCATTTAATGTATATTCTATTTATTTCTTTTACAAAGCAAATTTAAAAAAACTTATTCTTGAATTCCAGTAATCCAGGGAATTATAGGAAATTATTGACTAGAAAACCCTTTTATATTTAGCCATAAGTAGAGATAGGATAAAAATTTTTAAATCAAATTCCAGAATAGTGGAATACATTATGTGTTTAATAGTACACCTTTGAGGGGTGCCTGGGTGGCTCAGTTGGTTAAGTGACTGCCTTGCGCTCGGGTCCTAATCCCAGGATCCTGGGATCAAGCTCTGCATCGGGCTCCCTGCTCGGCTGGAAGCCTGCTTCTCCCTCTCCCACTCCCCCTGCTTGTGTTCCCTCTCTTGCTGTGCCTCTCTCTCTGTCAATTAAATAAATAAATAAGGGCGCCTGGGTGGCTCAGTTGGTTAAGCGACTGCCTTCGGCTCAGGTCATGATCCTGGAGTCCTGGGATCGAGTCCCGCATCGGGCTCCCTGCTCAGCAGGGAGCCTGCTTCTCCCTCTGACCCTCCTCCCCCTCATGCTCTCTGTCTCTCATTCTGTCTCAAATAAATAAATAAAATCTTAAAAATAAATAAATAAATAAATAAATAAATAAATAAATAAAATCTTAAAAAAAAATAGTACACCTTTGAAAGTTGAAAAGCTGTAATTAAGAATACATTGAAAATAACAGATTCAGGTAAAACAAATTAAAATATCAATACTTTTTAAAAAGTTTAGTTATATTAATGGATTATAGGAATATTTCTGATACATTAATTGTTTGAGCTGGACTTACAAACACAATTGCCCTGACACCAGCTTTTATTTTCACAGTCAGAGGTAAGATATTAATTGGCTAGATGAACCACCATAGTTTTTTCTGTGTTTTAAATCAAATTTTACAGACATCCAGGAATATTGGAAATCAGTGTGAATTCTGTAAACTATTAAGACTTTTGTATAGTTTAAGAAGTTACTGTGAAGAAATGCTATGCAAAGAAAGGGTGCTATTAACAGGTCTTGATAAGACTACCATTTATTGATTGTTTGCTGTGTCATACAGGGTGGTAAATACTTAATGAATATTGACTCATTGAATTTTCACAACAATTTTTTGAAGTTACATCTGTGTTTGTGCTGTAGCACATGTTATGGATGTTTCCATGGAAAATAATTGGACAGAGAAAGTAAAACAAATTAGTCAATGTAGCTACTTAGAGCTTTGGAATAGTTTTGGTGGGGAAGAGCTTTGAAACTATAGGATAAAATTTGATTTTTCCATTACTAATCATTCATCTATTTTATTATATATTTATTTAATTATTTTATTAGGTGTTATTTAATGATTTATATTTTAATCTTCCTTTTTGGGTTTCTGTTCTGAAATTTTTTAGTTTCTTACTTGAGCCAGAATATCAATAAGGTTAAGAAATTGTGAGTCTATTTTTATATATGTGAAATTAAACAGGTTTCCTTGATGTATATCAGAGATACATTTTCATTTATTTAGGTTTATGTTTCAAAGCCACTGTGCATTTCTGAGTCAAAACTATAATTTTAAACAAAGATCCAATTTTTGTTGCATTTCTGGTACTAATCTGTGTAAGTTCACAGGATTTCACTTTCATTGCAACCAGTTTTTCAGTGGACGGATTAATTATGTAACTTACAGTTTTTGCTGGATGTAAAAAAGGCTTTGAGGACTTTCTTTTGTATTATTTCTGACTTCATGATAATAATATTCATATTATAGTGGGCTTCTAATTTTACTTTTGTTTCTCCAGATATAATGAAAGACAATCTCAGAGAACAGGAAAATATGCCAACTTGTTCTTAGGCCCACTGATAAAATAGTATGCCATCGTTAATTGAATTCTTCTGTGAGGAGAGTTGAACTGTGGGAAAGAAATTTAAGAAAAGAACTGATCTGATAAAATACTCTAAGTTTTATAAATCACACTTTTTACAACAAAGTATAAGTGTGTTTGGGTTTTTTTTTTAACAATTCTTATTTCTCATAACCATTTATTTGCTCTCATTGTAGCAGATAACTGCCTCCCAATTGATTTCAGCACCACTGTTTTGTAGCTTAGGTGTCAGTTAAGTAGTTACTAAACTCATAGCCTGACCTTTATTAGCTTTGTTTCAGCACCTAAAATTATGAAGCTGCTGTAGACTATGGAAAGTTTGATTTTATCTAATATTGTCTTTATACTGTGCATATTTATGTAACAAGAATGCTGCCATTATATAAGTAACAGAAGGGAATATTGTTCCATAGATCCCTCTGTATTTCATTTTCAAGCCCTAACATACTTTTGTAGCTGATCTACATAGTATGTGTATATATTTTATATGTGTGTATACTTGTATGTGATCTATTTTTAAGTTTCTGTCCTGCAATTTTTTAGATTCTTGTTTGAGTTAAAACTTTAATAAGGTTAAGAAATTATGAATTTGTAAGTGAAGCTTTATAACATAAAGAACTCTGGAGACAGCATTCCAAGGTTTAAATCTTGTCTGGGCCTAATTTCTCTGTGCCTCAGATTACTTTATAAAATAAGAGTAATAATAACAACAACAGTACCTATCTCATGGTGTTATTCTGAGGATGAAAGGAGTTAATACATGTACAAAGCTTAGAACAGTAACTGGCCTATTTTGTCAGTCAAAGGTCTTCCAAGTAACTCTTTATAGAATAATTTTCTCAGGAGTGGCAACAATTATAAATTGGTTCAGTAAATATTTTTTACAGGTCTGTACTGTTCAGCATTGAAATTTTTTTAATGTAATGTAT